CTTTAAAACCCTTGCCAACAGTTCATCAAAGCTCTATTTGTCTGAGACCCATGTCACTGGAGAGAGAGACCTGGAGTGTACCTGGAAAGAGTTCCGGGGGTCAATGCCCCCATGGCCTGGTCTGTGACCAAGCCTCACGGTGGATCAGGGCCTGATCAACCAGGCTGTTACAGATGGCTGCACACAATCCAACGTACGAACCACAGCCCAGCTGGTCAGGTACCAACTTTAGGTGCTTGTCCAGTGCCTGCTTGAAGACAGCCAGGGGTCTATTGGTAATATCCCTTACGAATGCTGGGAGGCAGTTGAATAGTCTTGGGCCCCTGACACTTATTGCTAGTGACATCCCTGCTTTTCATTGGGGGGATGTTGCATCGTCTGCAGAGTCTTTTGCTTTCGTAAGGAGTGATTTTCGTGTGCAAGTTTGGTACTAGTCCCTCTAGGATTTTCCAGGTGTATATGATCATATATCTCTCCTGCCTGCATTCCAGTGAGTACAGGTTCAGGAACTTCAAGCGCTCCCAGTAATTGAGGTGTTTTATCTCAGTTATGCGTGCCATGAAGATTCTATGTACATTTTCTAAGTCAGCAATTTCACCTGCCTTGAAAGGTGCTGTTAGTGTGCAGCAATATTCCAGCCTAGATAGAACAAGCGACCTGAAGTGTGTCATCATGGGCTTGGCATCCCTAGTTTTGAAGGTTCTCATTATCCATTCTGTCATTTTTCTAGCAGATGCGATTGATACAGTGTTATGGTCCCTGAAGGCGAGATCCTCCAACATGATCACTCCCAGGTCTTTGACATTAGTTTTTCGCTCTATTGTGTGGTTGGAATTTGTTTTATACTCTGATGAAGTTTTAATTTCCTCATGTTTACCATATCAGAGTAATTGAAATTTCTCATCGTTGAACTTCATATTGTTTTCTGCAGCCCACTGAAAGATTTGGAGCCTTACAGTGTCTGCAATGGAAGACACTGTCATGCAGATTCGGGAGTCATCTGCAAAGGAAGACACGGTGCTGTGGCTTACATCCCTATGTCAGATATGAGGATGAGGAACAAGATGGGAGCGAGTACTGTGCCTTGCGGAGCAAAGCTTTTCACCATAGCCACCTCAGACTTTACTCTGTTGACTATTACTCTTTGTGTTCTATTTGTCAGGAAATTATAGATCCATCTACTAACTTTTCCTGCTATTCCTTTAGCACGCATTTTGTACGCTATTATGCCATGGTCACACTGGTCGAAGGAGTTTGCAAAGTCTGTTTATATTATATCTGCATTCTTTTTGTCTTCTAGTGCATCTAGGACCTTGTCGTAGTGATCCAGTAGTTGGGACAGACAGGAGCAACCTGTTCTAAACCCATGTTGCCCTGGGTTGTGTAACTGATGGGATATCTAGATGGGTGGCAATCTTGCTTCTTAGGACCCTTTCAAAGATTTTTATGATATGGGATGTTAGTGCTATTAGTCTGTAGTTCTTTGCTATTGCTTTACTGCCCCCTTTGTGGAGTGGGGCTATGTCTGTCGTTTTTAGTAACTGTGCGATGACCTCAGTGTCCATGCTCCCTCTCCATAGGATGTTAAAAGCACGTGATAGGGCTTCTTGCAGTTCTTGATGAGCACAGAGTTCCATGAGTCTAGCCCTGGGGCAGAGTGCATGGGGATGTCATTTATTGCCTCTTCGAAGTCTTCTGGCGTCAGGATAACGTCAAATAGGCTTGTGTTTACCAAATTCTGTGGCTCTCTCTGGTTAGTGGCTTGCTAAAAACTGAGTCATATTGGGGCTTGAGTAGCTCACTTATTTCCTTGCTGTCATCTGTGTAGGACCCATCTTGTTTAAGTAGGGCCCAATACTGGATGTTGTTCTTGACTTTGATTTGGCATAAGAAAAGAAATACTTTGGGTTTCTTTCGATTTCATTTATGGCTTTTAGTTCTTCCAGCGATTCCTGACTCCTATAAGATTCCTTAGCTTTAGTTCGATGTTTGCTATTTCTCTGTCCAGTGTCTCCCTATGCACTGCAGATATATTGGCCTCTTTTAGCTGTTCTATTATTCTTTTCCGTCGCCTGTAAAGGGAGCACCTGTCTCTTTCTATTTTACATCTACGCCTCCTGATTAATTAAACTGAATTTTTATTTCCTTGCATAGTACAGTATACATTGTGTGAGCTTGAGTGAGCTACCAATTGAGATCAATCAATCAATCCATTTTTATTTCCTTGCAAGATTACACTGAGAGTATGAAATTATAAAAATGAGTTGCAGTACAAAGAGAGTCACTATCATGCCAAGGCATTATGGGCAGATTTAATTTAATGGCTTACAGACTACATAATACTAAAGAAATTGAACATAGTTTAAGTTGTACATCTTGTTTATTTATAGTACACAGTAATTTTACTCAAATTACAATAGTTTCAATAGTAAATATTGAAATTATATTATGGGAATATAACAATGTGAGTTGTTGAAAATATACCTGGAGTTAACCTGGAGAGAGTTCCGGGGGTCAACGCCCTCGTGGCCCGGTCTGTGACCAGGCCTCCTGGTGGATCAGAGCCTGATCAACCAGGCTGTTACTGCTGGCTGCACGCAAACCAACGTACGAGCCACAGCCCGGCTGGTCAGGAACCGACTTTAGGTGCTTATCCAGTGTCAGCTTGAAGACTGCCAGGGGTCTGTTTGTAATTCCCCTTATGTATGCTGGGAGGCAGTTGAACAGTCTCAGGCCCCTGACACTTATTGTATGGTCTCTTAACGTGCTAGTGACACCCCTGCTTTTCATTGGGGGGATGTTGCATCGTCTGCCAAGTCTTCTGCTTTCATAGCGAGTGATTTTCGTGTGCAAGTTCGGTACTAGTCCCTCTAGGATTTTCCAGGTGTATATAATCATGTATAGTTTACAGTTATGAGAATGCTACAATTGGGTGTAAGGCACTAACGTTTTGGGTAGGTATTAATACAAGGTAGTTTTAATCTATGTATGAACTTTGGGCATTACATTTTGAAGTTTTAAGATTTAGGTAACTGGGAGATTTTTTGGTAAAGTTAAATACTGAGTACGTGTATTTAGTTTAGGGTGCGTAAGTGGTTTTTGAGAAGAATCTTAAATTGATGTTCAGACCGAGTTACTTTAGTATTTACTACTGGTAATGAATTCCAAATTTTGGGGCCCTTTATGTGCATAGAGTTTTTACATAAAGTAATATGGACATAAGGTACATCAAAAAGAGATCTGTGTCTTGTGTTATGGTCATGTGTCCTGTTAGGTTGGTGAGGAGAACTTTGAGTGGAGGGAGATGTATGTAGTTATGTATGTAGTAAGATAAGATTTCACTCGGATTTTTAACCCCAGAGGGTTAGCCACCCAGGATAAGCCAAGAAAGTCAGTACATCATCAAGGACTGTCTAACTTATTTCCATTGGGGTCTTCAATCTTGTTCCCTAGGATGCAACCCACACCAGTCAACTAACACCCAGGTACCTATTTGCTGCTAGGTGAACAGGACAACAGGTGTAAGGAAACGTGTCGAAATGTTTCTATCCGCCAGGAATCGAACCCGGGCCCTCCGTGTGTGAAGCGGGAGCTTTAGCCACCAGGCCACCAAGCACATGAATAAGTATGGATATTCTTTATGGTGAGCAGTTTTAGACTTTTGAATATTGGTGGAGTATGCTGTCGGGAGTGGGAATTTATTATCAATCTGACTGCAGCCTTTTGCTGGGTTATTAGTGGTCTTAGCTGATTTAATGTTGTTGACCCCCATGCACAAATCCCATATGTGAGATAAGGGTAGATAAGTGAATGATACAGTGCAAAGAGAGCTGATTGTGGAACATAGTACCATATCTTTGATAGTATGCCTACTGTCTTAGAGATTTTCTTGGAAATTTGTTGTATATGTGTCTGGAATTTGAGGCTACTGTCAAGGTGGATTCCTAGGAATTTTCCCTCTGTGAGGCTTGTGATGGGTGATCAGTTTAGCATTATGTTTTTATTTTATTTTATTTATTTATTTATTAATTTGAACATGATACAGAGAAGTACAAGGAATACAATTTTTAAGGTGCAGCATGCCAAAGCCCCTTGTATGCAGAATATTATGGGCAGGCTTAAAATTAACTTAAGATTAACTAAGCAATGATATATTCAGTGGTACAAAAATTATTGTAATATAGATAACAATTTAGTACAAATGAGTATTACAAAGACAGGTCATATGGTCATTTACTGTGTTGCTGTGTAATCAGTAGAACTGAGTATTCTGTTAGGTAATGAAGTTAAATAGTAACAGTTTGATTGGGTCACAGGTTGACATTTATGTTAAGTGGAACATTTGCAGCTCTGTTTCCAAACTGAATGAAATAGGTTTTGTCAGTATTGAGTGTAAGCTTATTAGTCATCATCCAGGTAGATATTTTCTGCAATTCAACACTGACAGTGTTGGCCAGTATAACTGGGTTTGGGTGAGAGAAGATATATCTAGTGTCATCTGCAAATAATATGGATTTGAGTAGTAATGATGAATTCGCTAGATCATTGATGTAAATAAGAAAGAGGAGTGATCCATGTATACTATGTGTACCTGTACCTATAACTAAATAAATAAACTTACTTATTTACTAAATAAACTTACTTACCTCGCCTTAAATAAAACAAGTGGAAATAAGTCAGGTTGAATTTTTAAGTAAAGTTAGGTAATTTACACATATATTACCAGGTAAAACAATTATAATCAACTTAAAATTAATTTAAAGAAAAACAAACAAATTTGATTTCTTTGCAAGATTTCATTGAGATTATGAAATTACAATAATGAGTTGCAGTGCAAAGAGGCACTATCATGCCTAGGCATTTTGGGCAAACTTAATTTAATGTCTTACAGACTACTCAGTTCTAAAGAAATTGATCATAGTATGTTTAAGTTGTACATATTTTACACATATTATCATATAAAACAATTATAATCAACCAAAAGCTGAGTAAAACTGTACCTAAATCAAGTTTGTGCTGACACATTAGTTTACCTCTGCTGCATCTGTGTTTAGCTTGCCTGTGATTGGTCACAGTACTGAGCGCTGATTGGCTCTCACGGGGAACTACAGCTAAAAAATATATATATATATTTTTTGGCTTAGGTCTCCCAAAATAACAATTTGCTGAAGAAATAATGGTTGAAACATACGATTGGAAGGTTGTATGTACTGTAATATTTAAACCAATCATACTTCAGGTGAATAGCAGTAATTTATTTTAAGTAAATAAATTAAGAGGAAATAATAAAGTTAAATAAGTAATTAAAGGTAAGTTTATTTAGGTACATTATTATTATTATAATCAAGGGGGAAGCGCTAAACCCGGAGGATTATACAGCGCCGGGGGGGGGGGGGGATGTGGAAGGCATTCAGGCTTAATTCGGGGAACTGGAGCACAGATCCAATTCCCTAAATCAAGAGCCCCTCACCAACATCAAGGAACCTTCCTTGAGGGGATATTTAGGTACAGCTATAAGGTTTTTGGATGATTTCAATTGTATTGCAAAGTAATAAGTGTAAATTATCTAGGATAACCACCAAAAATTAAAGCGACTTATTTTCAACAGTCTGGTATAAATGGATTATATATATTATACAAGTAACTTTAATATATCAAGGGACGCCTATGGAAATATTACTGACTTTTTTTGGGGGGTTATCCTACTTGCTTTACACATATTACTAAATAAGACAATTGTAATCACCTGATAATTATATAATTGTATTTCAATTAACTTACTAACCATTATACTACTAACTACTGAGCCACAATACTGTTTTTTTTACAACAAATACAAAGTATGTTAATATGCGCAAGACGAGTTTCCTTGTTGAGTAAAACCATAATAACAGTCATGGTGGAAGTGTATGAACAATTATGTTTAGTACCTCACTAGTTGCTGTATAATAGTGGCTTTATTGTAGGTACAGTGAGGGAGGAGGAAGAATGTGAGATACTGTTATAACAGTGACTAGTGTAGCCTCAACACACGTGTGTGTTTGTAGCAGCAACACTGTAACTACCAGCAGTGACACCACCACCAGTGACACCACCACCAGTGACACCACCACCAGTGACCACCACCAGTGACACTACCACCAGTGACACCACTAGCACTGACACCACCACCAGTGACACCACCACCAGTGACACCACCACCAGTGACACCACCACTAGTGACACTACCACCAGTAACCACCACCAGTGACACCACCACCAGTGACACCACCACCAGTGACACCACCACCAGTGACACCACCACCAGTAACACCATCACCAGTAACACCACCACCAGTAACCACCACCAGTGACACCACCACCAGTGACACCACCAGCAGTGACACCACCACAGTGACACCACCACCAGTGACACCACCACAGTAACACCACCAGTAACACCACCACCAGTAACACCACTCACCAGTAACACCACCAGTAACACCAGTAACACCACCACCAGTAACACCACCACCAGTAGCACCACCACCAGTAGCACCACCACCAGTAACACCACCACCAGTAACACCACCACCAGAACCACCACCATAACACACCACCATAACAACACTACCACCACCCCAGTAACTACCACCACCAGTAACACTACACCACCAGTAACCACCACCAGTAACACCACCACCATAACACCACCACCAGTTAACACTACCACCCACCAGTAAACCACCACCAGTAACCACCACCAGTAACACACCATAACACCACCAGTAACACCACCACCAGTAACCACCACCAGTAACACCACCACCAGTAACCCACCAGTAACACCACCAGCAGTAACCACCACCAGTAACCACCACCAGTAACACACAGTAAACCACCACCAGTAACACCACCACCAGTAACACCACTAACCAGTAACCACCACACAGTAACACACCACCACAGCAGTACACCACCAAGACAGAACATCACACCAGCAGTAACACCACTACCACCAGCTTAAAGTACACCATACCACCGCAGTAACACCACTACCACCAGCAGTAACAACCACCAGGGCAGTAACATCACCACCAGCAGAGTAACACACCACCAGCAGCTAAACACCACCACAACAAGTAACACCACCAGCAAACAGTAACACACCACTAGCAGCAGTACATCAGCAACACCACCACAGAACAACATCATACATCACACAGCAGAGCATAACACACCACCAGCAGTAGCAGTAACACCCCGCACTAGCACCACCACTACAACAAGTAACACCGCCACCACACAAGCAGTAACAGCCACCACCAGCACAACAGTCTAACGCCACCACAGACAGTAACAGCACCACCAGCAGTAGCAGCACCACCAGCATAGCAGCACCACCAGCAGTAACAGCACCACCAGCAGTAACAGCACCACCAACAGTAACAGCACCACAACAGTAACAGCAACCACCAGCGTAGCAGCACCACCAGCAGTAGCAGCACCACCAGCAGTAACAGCACCACCAACGTAACAGCACCACCAGCAGTACAGCACCCCAGCAGTAGCAGCCCACCAAACCCAGCAGCACCACCACCACCCAGCACAGCAACAGACCTCTACAACACATAGCTAATAATCCTCGGTCATGGCCACCATCCTCTCGCATACCAGTACAACTGATTTGTAAGTTAATTATAGATTTTGCAAGCGCGTGTGTGTAGGGGGGGGGGGAGCTGGAGTACAGTGATCGAGTGGCTGTGGCAATGATGTTGAGATGGCTGTGGCATGGTGTTGAGAGGCGTGCATGGTGTTGAGAGGCTGTGGCGTGGTGTATGAGAGCTGTGCGTGTGTGAGAGGCTGTAGCAATGTTGTTGAGAGCTGTGCAATGGTTGAAAAGGCTGGCTGTGGCATGGTTTGAGAGCGTGGCATGGTGTTGAGAGGCTGTGGCACAGGTTGAGAGGCTGGCTGGGCAATGATGTTGAGAGGCTGGCCCTTGGCAATGATGTTGAGAGGCTGGCCTGTGGCAATGGTGTTGAGAGGCGAGGCATGGTGTTGAGAAGGCTGTGGCAGGGTTTAGAGGCATGTGGCATGGTGTTGAAGAGCTGTGGCATGAGTTTGAGAGGCTGTGGCATGGTGTTGAGAGGCTGTGGCAATAAATGAGATGCTGCTGTGCATGGTGTAGAGAGGCTGTGGCATGGTGTTGAGAGGCTGTGGCAGGTGTTGAGAAGCTGTGGCTGCAGTGTTGAGAGACTTGGCCAGGTGTTGAGAGCTGTGCAATGATGAGAGGCTGGCTGTGCCCATGGTGTTGAGAGGCTGTGGCACAGTGTGAGAGGCTGTGGCAAGATGAGAGGCTGGCTGTGGCATGGTTTGAAGAGGCTGTGGCACAGTGTTGAGAGGCTGTGGCAATGATGAGAGGCTGGCTGTGGAAATGGTGTTGAGAGGCTGTGGCAATGATGAGAGCTGGCTGTGGCATGGTGTTAGAGAGGCTGTGGCAATGATGAGAGTAGCTGTGGCACAGTGTTTAAAAGGCTGTGGCACAGTGTATAGAGGCTGTGGCAATGATGAGAGGCTGCTGTGGCATGGTTTTGAGAGGCTGTGGCATGGTGTTGAAGAGGCTGTGGCAATGATGAGAGGCCTGGCTGTGGCATGGTGTTGAGAGGCTGTGGCACAGTGTTGAGAGGCTGTGGCAATGATGAGAGGCTGGCTGTGGCATGGTGTTGAGAGGCTGGCTGTGGCATGGTGTTGAGAGGCTGGCTGTGGCATGGTGTTGAGAGGCTGGCTGTGGCATGGTGTTGAGAGGCTGGCTGTGGCATGGTGTTGAGAGGCTGTGGCACAGTGTTGATAGGCTGTGGCACAGTGTTGATAGGCTGTGGCACAGTGTTGAGAGGCTGTGGCAATGATGAGAGGCTGGCTGTGGCATGGTGTTGAGAGGCTGTGGCACAGTGTTGAGAGGCTGTGGCACAGTGTTGAGAGGCTGTGGCACAGTGTTGAGAGGCTGTGGCACAGTGTTGAGAGGCTGTGGCAATGATGGGAGGCTGGCTGTGGCATGGTGTTGAGAGGCTGTGGCAATGATGAGAGGCGGGTGGCCATGGTGTTGAGAGGCTGTGGCACAGTGTTGAGAGGCTGTGGCAATGATGGGAGGCTGGCTGTGGCATGGTGTTGAGAGGCTGTGGCAATGATGAGAGGCTGGCTGTGGCATGGTGTTGAGAGGCTGTGGCACAGTGTTGAGAGGCTGTGGCAATGATGAGAGGCTGGCTGTGGCATGGTGTTGAGAGGCTGTGGCACAGTGTTGAGAGGCTGTGGCAATGATGGGAGGCTGGCTGTGGCATGGTGTTGAGAGGCTGTGGCATGGTGTTGAGAGGCTGTGGCATGGTGTTGAGAGGCTGTGGCAATGATGAGAGGCTGGCTGTGGCATGTTTTGAGAGGCTGTGGCAATGAAGAAGGCTGGCTGTGGCATGGTGTTGAGAGGCTGTGGCAATGATGAGAGGCTGGCTGTGGCATGGTGTTGAGAGGCTGTGGCAATGATGAGAGGCTGGCTGTGGCATGGTGTTGAGAGGCTGTGGCAATGATGAGAGGCTGGCTGTGGCATGGTGTTGAGAGGCTGTGGCACAGTGTTGAGAGGCTGTGGCAATGATGAGAGGCTGGCTGTGGCACGGTGTTGAGATTCTGTGGCAATGATGAGAGGCTGGCTGTGGCATGGTGTTGAGAGGCTGTGGCACGGTGTTGAGAGGCTGTGGCAATGATGAGAGGCTGGCTGTGGCATGGTGTTGAGAGGCTGTGGCATGGGGGTTGAGAGGCTGTGGACAGTGTTGAGAGGCTGTGGCACAGTGTTGAGAGGCTGTGGCACAGTGTTGAGAGGCTGTGGCACAGTGTTGAGAGGCTGTGGCACAGTGTTGAGAGGCTGTGGCATGGTGTTGAGAGGCTGTGGCACAGTGTTGAGAGGCTGTGGCAATGATGAGAGGCTGGCTGTGGCACGGTGTTGAGAGGCTGTGGCACAGTGTTGAGAGGCTGTGGCACAGTGTTGAGAGGCTGTGGCAATGATGGGAGGCTGGCTGTGGCATGGTGTTGAGAGGCTGTGGCAATTGATGAGATGGCGGTGTGTCATGGTGTTGGAGAGGGCTGTGGCACAGTGTTGAGAGGCTGTGGTAATGATGGGAGGCTGGCTGTGGCATGGTGTTGAGAGGCTGTGGCATGGTGTTGAGAGGCTGTGGCATGGTGTTGAGAGGCTGTGGCATGGTGTTGAGAGGCTGTGGCATGGTGTTGAGAGGCTGTGGCAATGATGAGAGGCTGGCTGTGGCATGGTGTTGAGAGGCTGTGGCAATGATGAGAGGCTGGCTGTGGCATGGTGTTGAGAGGCTGTGGCAATGATGAGAGTGCTGGCTGTGGCATGGTGTTGAGAGGCTGTGGCAATGATGAGAGGCTGGCTGTGGCATGGTGTTGAGAGGCTGTGGCACAGTGTTGAGAGGCTGTGGCAATGATGGGAGGCTGGCTGTGGCATGGTGTTGAGAGGCTGTGGCAATGATGAGAGGCTGGCTGTGGCATGGTGTTGAGAGGCTGTGGCACAGTGTTGAGAGGCTGTGGCAATGATGAGAGGCTGGCTGTGGCATGGTGTTGAGAGGCTGTGGCACAGTGTTGAGAGGCTGTGGCAATGATGAGAGGCTGGCTGTGGCACGGTGTTGAGATTCTGTGGCAATGATGAGAGGCTGGCTGTGGCACGGTGTTGAGATTCTGTGGCAATGATGAGAGGCTGGCTGTGGCATGGTGTTGAGAGGCTGTGGCACGGTGTTGAGATTCTGTGGCAATGATGAGAGGCTGGCTGTGGCACGGTGTTGAGATTCTGTGGCAATGATGAGAGGCTGGCTGTGGCATGGTGTTGAGAGGCTGTGGCATGGTGTTGAGAGGCTGTGGCACAGTGTTGAGAGGCTGTGGCACAGTGTGAGAGGCTGTGGCACAGTGTTGAGAGGCTGTGGCACAGTGTTGAGAGGCTGTGGCACAGTGTTGAGAGGCTGTGGCACAGTGTTGAGAGGCTGTGGCACAGTGTTGAGAGGCTGTGGACAGTGTTGAGGGGGCTGTGGCTGGTGGAGAGGCTGTGGCACAGTGTGAGAGGCTGTGGCAAGGGATGAAGGCTGGCTGTGGGCACGGTGTTGAGAGGCTGTGGGCACAGTGTTGAGAGGCTGTGGCACAGTGTTGAGAGGCTGTGGCACAGTGTTGAGAGGCTGTGGCACAGTGTTGAGAGGCTGTGGCATGGTGTTGAGAGGCTGGCTGTGGCATGGTGTTGAGAGGCTGGCTGTGGCATGGTGTTGAGAGGCTGTGGCATGGTGTTGAGAGGCTGTGGCATGGTGTTGAGAGGCTGGCTGTGGCACAGTGTTGAGAGGCTGTGGCACAGTGTTGAGAGGCTGTAGCACAATGTTGAGAGGCTGTGGCACAGTGATGAGAGGCTGTAGCACAGTGATGAGAGGCTGTAGCACAGTGATGAGAGGCTGTAGCACATTGATGAGAGGCTGTAGCACAGTGATGAGAGGCTGTGGCACAGTGATGAGAGGCTGTGGCAATGATGAGAGGCTGGCTGCGGCATGGTGTTGAGGCTGTGGCACGGTGGCGAGAGGCTGTGACAATGATGAGAGGCTGGCTGTGGCACAGTGTTGAGAGGCTGTGGCACAGTGTTGAGAGGCTGTAGCACAATGTTGAGAGGCTGTGGCACAGTATGGATAGAGCTGTAGCACAGTGATGAGAGGCTGTAGCACAGTGATGAGAGGCTGTAGCACAGTGATGAGAGGCTGTAGCACAGTGATGAGAGGCTGTAGCACAGTGATGAGAGGCTGTGGCACAGTGATGAGAGGCTGTGGCAATGATGAGAGGCTGGCTGTGGCATGGTGTTGAGAGGCTGTAGCAGTGATGAGAGGCTGAGGCAATGATGAGAGGCTGGCTGCGGCATGGTGTTGAGGCTGTGGCACGGTGGCGAGAGGCTGTGGCATGGTGGCGAGAGGCTGTGGCACGGTGGTGAGAGGCTGTGATACGGTGGTGAGAGGCTGTGGTACAGTTGTGAGTAGGTGTGGTACAGTGGTGAGTTGCTGTGGTACAGTGATGGATGGCTGTGGTACAGTAGTGATTAACTGTGGTACAGTGATGAGAGGCTGTGGTATGGTGGTGAGAGGCTGTGACACAGTGATGCATCAGTGGAAGGGAATGGGGTGGGTTCCTAAGAGTACTTAAGTTCCTCTAAGGCAAATGCTTTATCATTTTCAGTTAGTGGCTCATTTTCATTGTTTTTTGACCAGTGACCACAAAAGCCCAATATGTACTGTAATACAGTGGACCCCCGGTTAACGATATTTTTTCATTCCAGAAGTATGTTCAGGTGCCAGTACTGACCGAATTTGTTCCCATAAGGAATATTGTGAAGTAGATTAGTCCATTTCACACCCCAAACATACACGTACAAACGCACTTACATAAATACACTTACATAATTGGTCTCATTGGGAGGTGATCGTTAAGCGGGGGTCCACTGTACTAAGAAGTTTCTTAGATATACTGAAAATCATGTTTGTAAAGATGATTTCTAAGCCCTCAGAATGAAATCTGGGCTGTGGTACTGGCTGTAACAGTAATGAGTGGCTGTAACAATGTAATACTCAAAAATCATCTCATCTCTTAATAACAAACATACCCATTCTATCAATTGAGATCAAGAAAACGAGAATACAGTGGACCCCCGGTTAACGATTTTAATCCGTGCAAGAGGGCTCATCGTTATGCGAAATAATCGTTATGCGAATGAATTTTCCCCATAAGAAATAATGGAAATCAAATTAATCCGTGCAAGACGCCCAAAAGTATGAAAAAAATTTTTTTTTACCACATGAAATGTTAATTTTAATACACACAAACTGAAAAAGGCATGCACAATTAAATGACACTTACTTTTATTGAAGATCTGGTGATGATTGATGGGATGGGAGGAGGGGAGAGCATTATCTTCTTACTGTTTAGAAGGGGAATCCCCTTCCATTACGACTTGAGGTAGCAAGTCATTTCCGGGGTTACTTCCTTCTTCTTTTAATGCCACTAGGACCAGCTTGAGAGTCACTGGACCTCTGTCGCACAACAAATCTGTCCATAGAGCTCTGTACCTCTCCGTTCCTTTACGATTTGTCTAAAATGGGCCACAACATTGTCATTGAAATAGTCACCAGCACGGCTTGCAACAGCTGTGTCAGGGTGGATTTCATCTATAAAGGTTTGCAGTTCAACCCACTGTGCACACATTTCCTTAATCTTTGAAGTAGGCACAATGGATTCCACAACTGGCATAGGCTTCTCAGGGTTAGCCCCAAACCCTTCAAAATCTTTCTTAATTTCCATACTAATTCTCACCCTTTTTACCACAGGGTTGGCACTAGAAGCTTTCTTGGGGCCCATGGTCACTTATTTTCCAGAAACAGCACCGAAAACACTGTAATAATACGAAATATTCCGAGTGTATGCTTGGATGTTACCGCGGAGGCTGGCTGGTAAACAATGGGACGGCCGGCACATGTGAGGCTGGCTGAGGGCACATTGGACGCGTCTCGGACGAAAATCGGTAAGCGGGTTTTTAATCGGTATGCGCGGCAAAAATTTTGCGATAAAAGTAATCGGTATGCGGAAAAATCGCTATGTGATGCCATCGTTATGCGGGGGTCCACTGTACAACCATAAAAACCATACGAAAATATACTGCTAAGGGCGGCTAATGGCTGAGAAGTGAACTCCGTTATTTATGGTCCGATTTCTTTCAATTTTGGTGTATATTAAGAAGCATCTTTCTGTCATACATTGCCCAAGGTTCGATAAGATAGCCCAACAAACAAGTGAGATTCAATTCCCTAGATCAAGAGCATGAGCCCTTTACCAGTATCAAGGAACCTCCCTCAAGGCTCGCTTGCATCTGGAAATTTTGCTCGTGTATGGAAGCAAAAAATCAACCGAGCGACTGCTCGTATCTGGAAAAACGCGCACGTGGATGTACTCTTAAGTGGAGGTTCCGCTGTATAATTATTTCTTAACTTCTTGTTAATACTTTGTACAATACCCATTAAAGTTAAAGAACTAAACAATTTTAATACTAGGTAAGACACATATGCAACAGTTAGGTATCTTTATTATGAAACGTTTCGCCTACACAGTAGGCTTCTTCAGTCAAGTACAGAAAAGTTGATAGAAGCAGAAGATACTTGAAGACGATGTAATCAGTCCATCACCCTTAAAGTTTTGAGGTGGTCAGTCCCTCAGTCTGGAGAAGAGCATTGTTCCATAGTATGAAACAATATGTTTCATACTATGGAACAATGCTCTTCTCCAGACTGAGGGACTGACCACCTCAAAACTTTAAGGGTGATGGACTGATTACATCGTCTTCAAGTATCTTCTGCTTCTATCAACTTTTCTGTACTTGACTGAAGAAGCCTACTGTGTAGGCGAAACGTTTCATAATAAAGATACCTAACTGTTGCATATGTGTCTTACCTAACAACCTGTCGGTATTTTATACCATTTTAATGTTCAATTTTAATACTAGTCTGTCTGTTTGAAATGCTGTGCATTCTGTGGGTTTTCTAATTATTATATATTGCACAATAATTTGAAATAAAAAAAACTGAATTGGAAATCATGAGAATGATAAAAATAGGCTCATAAAAAACATTAACATAGGTTAAGCACAAGGAAGAATTGCTCAAGAAAGCTACTGAAATGGTTATAAGAATACTGAATGGTTATAAGAATAAACACATTAGATTGGACTTTTAAAAAAAGGCCAGGGGAAAAAATTGAAGGGCTTTATAAAGCATTACTAACAGATTCAGGGAGAATAGAAGTGAAGAAAAGAAAGTTTTTTTCACAGTGACCACGGCCATACTAACTCGCCAAATGGTATCTCAAGGAAGCAAGTACAGCTTCCTTGATAACTACTGGGAATACTTGAAGTTCCTCAGCCTGTACTCCCTAGAACGCAGGCAGGAGAGATACATGATTATGTAAACTTGGAAAATCCTAGATGGATTAGTACCAAACTTGCACATGAAAATCACTCCCCATGAAAGCAAGACTCGGCAGACGATGCAACATCCCAGTAATGAAAAGCAGGGGTGCCACTAGAACAATAAGAGAACACAATAAGTGTCAAGGGCCCAAGACTGTTCAACTGCTTTCCAGCATACATAAGGGGGATCACCAATAGACCCCTGGCCGTCTTCAACAAGGCGGTGGACAGGCACCTAAAGTCAGTACCTGACCAGCTGGGCTGTGGTTTGTACGTTGGGTTGCATGCGGCCAACAGCAACTTCCTGGTTGATCAGGCCCTGATCCACCATGAGGCCTGGTCACAGACTGGGCCACGAGGGCATTGACCCCCGAAACCAGTGAGTAACCAGATTAAAATGAACTAAAACAAAAAGGGAAATGGCAAGACAAGCCACTGGTTGGTGAAATATTTCCACAATAAAGATATCCAAATGTTGCACAAGTGTTTCATTTATCAACACGAGGCATTAGGCATGTGCTACATCTGGGTGTATTTGAAGATAAGAGACTGATTATCTCTTTGTATATCATCTGTATTGCATCGAAAAAGCAACTGGTTGGGGAAATCTTCAAACAAAAATGCCAAAGTGTAGTACATATATATAATAAAAATGTTGCAGTTTAAAAACTGTAGTGTAAAGCACCCTTCTGGCAAGACAGTGATGGAGTGAATGATGGTGAAAGTTTTTCTTTTTCGGGCCACCCTGCCTTGGTGGGAATCGGCCAGTGTGATAATAAATAATAATAAATAATTTATTTCTTTGTTAAGGTTACAATGTGTGTTTACATATCATAATATGATTGGAGCAAACAAAGCCACTATCATGCCGAGGCATTTCGCACAGACTTAACCTAATATACTTATAGACTACTTAAGTCTAGACAGGCGAAGAGTGATAAAATACAAATAGTCAATATTCACTCCATTGTTAATATGAGGTAGTACAATTTATGATACAATCAATTAATGATACAATCAATCATACATTTTTAAGTCTGTAATTAAGTTCATTTACTCTTCCTCCTTATAACATGTCAGTCACACATTGCAAACTTTGCAAAGAAATAAAAATTTGAATTTGAATTATTAATATGAGGTAGTACAACTAATGATACAGACATACATTTAAAAGTCTGTAATAATGGCTTAATAGTTAAAGGATAATAAAGTATTTGGGGGAGTTGCTTTGAATTTGGTTGGGGTTTAGCATAGTGTACAAGTCGTCTCTACATTGATACGGTAGAATAAATAAAGAAGAACACTCCCATTCTCGTGTAACACCATTTTTAAAAGAAATGACGCTCTGAGTGAAAGCAATGGAAATAAGTCACTCTGTCAGACTTTTTTTGGGGTTATCCTAGGTTCTCTACACATATGCTGTTCTTTCTTTCAACATACCAGCCGTATCCCACCGAGGTGGGGTGGCCCAAAAGAGAAAACTAAAGTTTCTCCTTTTAAATTTAGTAATATATACATACAGGAGAAGGGGTTATTAGCCCCTTGCTCCTGGCATTTTAGTCGCCTCTTACGACACTCATGGCTTGCAGAGGAAAAATTCTGTTCCACTTCCCCATGGAGATAAGAGGAAATAAACAAGAACAAGAATTAGAAAGAAAATAGAAGAAAACCCAGAGGGGTGTGTATATATATGCTTGTACACGTATGTGTAGTGTGGCCTAAGTGTAAGTAGAAGTAGTAAGACGTACCTGTTATGTATGATAATCTATGTAACTGTATTTGTGTATACCTGAATAAACGTACTTACATACGAAAGGAATAATTTTCTACAGTTACCCCCCAGTAACACATTTTCTCTGATGTTGGACTAGAGAAAATGTTATTCTTGCCGTCACTCGTACAAGTCTGGCTACCACATCTCGTATTTATGTTTATTTATTCTACTGTGGAGTGTATTTATCATCTTTATATGTTATGTATCGTGTTTATTATATAATTTTGAAAAAAATATCATAGATGGATTA